TTAGGAATACTTATAAAACAAAATGGAATAGTATCACATAAGTGGGAAATAGTCAGTTGCATTCTGATACATTTTAAGGCATAAGTGTCTCCCAACTTATTTAAACTTTAAAACGACAATTGATAAGTATTTTTCGTATGTAAGTAAAGTTTCGAGACTATAAGTAAATCAGTAATATGAGATGTATTAACCCTATTTCGTTTAAGGTGATGAAGGACGGGTAGTAGAATTTTCAAACAATAATATGAGTAGAGCTGACGTTTCCATTGATAAGTAGATATAATGCAATTATAAGGGTAAATAACAATGAACTAGTAGAAGTATTGTGTTTTGCAAATCAACCAATAATTAAGTAATAAAAAATGTCGTTTAAAGTAATTCTAACTAAGCCAGATATGAAGATTAAGATAGTGGCCTTTAGCTGTAGTATTGGTTTGAACTAGTTTTCGCGACTAGGTCGGAGCAACAGACCTTGTAAAAGGTACCCAATCCGATGTCTTTTAGCATGATAGTTATGGTAACCTCAAGCATAAAACCGCTGACTTTGTACAGGCACATTCATAGAGATTCTACTAATAGCATAAGAGAAATGCGCCATCCTTCACACGTAGTCACATCTCGTCAAGTCAAGAAGAGAATGCAATCCCCATGATCAGTTTTCTGTCCAACCGTTATGACATCTCTCCTTCTATCGGTTCTAGCTCTTAGAGTAATATTCTCTTCCCAAAATTCCAATATATTGAGCTAATTCGCCTATATAAATCGCTTTTGCTCTCTCTTGATAGGCACGCTTGGAGGAATACTTTATTTGGTATTAACAGCAAAAAAGATATGTGCGGAGCAAAGAGGAAACTCAAAAATGAAGAGCAGGATGAGATAAACTTGAGGGATAAATGGAAGTCAGCAGAGAGCGAATTCAATGACGGATTGACCTAAGGATCAGATTCGAAGAAATTCAGTGGTGGGTTCACTCCAAGATATAGATATGAAGGATCTCAAATGTCTGAATAGTTTACCACCAAGGTTACTCATTACAGAATCTATATCTACTTCAAAACCACTTAGGTGTTGCAGCAGATATTAGTGGGAAAATATCCGTTGTCTCCCTCCCAGTGTCTGTAAGGGCGAGTTCACGATATTTTCGACAGAGGTATTCACTACTCTATGTGAACACGCCGATCTTGGTGGAACCTCGGAATCAGTTTGAAGTGATAGCGCGAGATAACAAGAGAAATGCTTTACTTAACGCATAAATGGATAAATTAATTGGTAGATCCTCACACTGTTTGTTCCAAAGGAAGCCAAATAGGGTCCACAGAAGGATGAGGTGAGGTTTGGATAAGAAAAAGGATAACTGGGGTAACAGGTTTATGGAGCCTAGAGAGCTTTAAAGGGACAACAGGCGTAAGAATCACGATTCGAGGACAATCTCCGCTAAGGCTAATGCAGATGTTCTATCGTATTTTAGAGTCAAGTCACGTAAATGAATACATAATATGACGGAAACAGTGTCTTGATTGATAGTTTATAGGGAGCCTGTTAGATAAAACAATGAATGGTATCCATGTATAACGGAAAACCCCTTAGAGATGGATTGCTAAGTGGAAGTACTGATCGGGATCTAGAAACTCTGTGGATGGCCTTCAACGTGTATCCTTAGGAGAAGTTGGAGGATAACAAGAAACATTTATTGATATAATCAAAATAGCTAAATGGAGTAGGGTTTACGAATGAAGCTGCAATGCTAGGTGATAAAACAGGGGGGAGGAGAGATGCCATAACAGTTGAACAGAAGAATGGTTAAGTGGACTGCCCTTACTGGCTGCAACTTGGTGTTAAAAATGGTGCCTCGCCCTGACGGCGCCGAAGTAAAGTCTAGGGATATACTATTCCGAATCCAAAGGTCCGATTCTAAACCCTATTATATTCTATATGGCAGATGACACAGAACTAGGTATATTCTATAAAATCTTACTGTCGCTCCGATAGAGTTGTGAAAACGAGGTCAATCCAACAGCCAAGGAAGACTGCTACCAAACCCTAGACCACACCTTGGCCTTCCTATCTACAATCTTATTAAATGATTTTTTTAGCAGGGGTTATAAATGCCTTCAAGCTTAAAAGTAGTTATAATTAACCTTGATGAGATCTGTAACTGTAAGAAACGGCTTCTGAGTCGCTTGTAACATCAGTAAAGGCTTCTCGACAGGTCGGCAATAGGCGCTGCTATTCTCCCCAGCTCCAGAGGACAGCGGCAAAACAGCACTCATGCCTAATGCAGTCCGTTCGCCTGCTAGGGAGTCGATGTCTCCAGCCAATTCAGCCACCGGTGTCGTCGTAGACGTCGCTAGGGTCTCCATGGCTGGTGCGGCCATCGACGTCATTGTGGCTACGTGATGGGCGTCCAGCTCTAGTCCGGGAACTTGGGTCAAAGCATTCGCGAGCACTGACCGGCCTCCCACCTCTAAGCCAACTCCAGACAAAGTCCCTACATTCCTAAGGGCCTCGCTGGCACTTACTATGCCACCATCGATAGCGCTAATCAGGGATTTGGGATATTTGGCACGCATTGTATCACGAAAAAGGACATCGCGAGATCGTGCCCATGCGGATGCCTCGGGGGAGGCTAAAGCGTAGCCAACTATTGAAGGCAAAGGAAGTAGAGTATGAGAATCCACAGCCCACTCCCGCCCAGATTCGGGTTGCGCCAGTGGTGCTTGCCCAAGGCCAGGGAAGCCGTTGACTGAAGTGGAGACTGAAGGCAATTGCTCTGGGTCATCAGTTGACATAGCTAATTCGACAAACATACGAGGATCCTCAGGACAACACGAGAGCTTACTATCGTAGGCAACTGAAGAGATGGTTGTAGGAAGATTAGAAGGAATCGGCATTGGAGCAGAAACTGATGCGGTGAGGGATAAGCTCGAGTCAAATGCAGGACCCTCAA